GATATTTCCTTTTGTTATCATAGCGCTCACTACCTCCCTTAGTTTTGCCTTAGATTTAGGACCCAAATTCTTCACCAGCTTGATTGGGATACCATCAGTGCCTGTCGACGTGCCACTAGGGACTAATCGTTCCGCCTTTTCCCATTTTCTTTGCCCAAAATCCGCGATGACACAGCAGGACTGCAACTTCGTTCAGTTCTCCTATCTTCCACATGTACCTGTTCCCAAAGTTCTTTCTCCATCACTGCTGCTATATGCTATATACCCCAACATTTCCCTCTAGTTTATCTCCCTGATGCGAGAGTATGAACCTCTGTCTAGCTTGCGTCGTTTCACCGAGTGAGTTCAGGTGTTCCCAAAACTTCTTTGCTGCGGTTCTATCTTTCTTGCTTACATTACTCATCCATTCCTTACCCTTTCTCTGAATTTTCGCATTGATCAAACTGGATACCTCTCGGCAACATGTTATAAAAGTGTCCCATTCTCTTTTTACTTCCATTTCTGACTCCCCACAACGCTTAAAATACCTGTGTTCTCTACCTGACGTTTTTGTATCGCTTGCTTCACTTCTTTGTCCCACCAGCTTTCTGGTCTATGTCCTTGCTTCCCCTTTCGTTTACTCTAAACTTCGTCTTGTTCCAGAGCAAAACGCCTAGTTAGGCTCTCATAGGTGCCATATGTATACCGTCGCCCTGAAACTGCTTCCTCTATTCTTTCGGCAACTATTTCTAACTCTTTGTCGCTGCAGAAAGTTTGCTTTGAATTATGTCGTCTAGTTTCAGCATTTACTTCTTTTGAGAAATTCAGCTTAATATGTTTGTGATCACTACCAAGACTTTTGGAACCTTCTTCATCTCTTTTCATTACTTGTAACATACCATATATTTTGTGTGACATGAGTACGTAATCTATAGTTGAAAGTAGATTGCCAGTTTCCCACGTTATGTGCCCGTCACACTTCTGACTGGTATTACATGAAACTAAGTCATGCTTTCCACCAGTTCTACTAATATGCTTCCAGTTGAGTTTGTATACCCATCCAGACCCTCGATTTGGGCATTCATGTCTCCCATAATAATTATTTCAGAGCCTTCTCCTACCTCACTAATGTCTCTTGATATGCAATCAATCATTTTTCTGTTTTTCTCTTTAGCACCTGTCCCTGTCCATAAGTAAACAACTCCGAGGACTGTTGATTCCCCAACGACTTTTCCTTTCCCCCAAAAATGTTCGGCACACTCCTTTCTGATCCTTTGAAACTTCATGTTCTTCTTAATAAATGCTTCAATTCCACCTCCCTTCCTCGTTCCTTCCATGCTGTTGCATTCTTCCCACACATAGTCAGGGTTGCAAGGTGGCTGCTCCATGTCTCTGAGATGTGTTTCCACAAACCCATACACCACTAAATCTTCCTTTCTTAGTTGCTCCTCTACCTCTTCCCATTTTAACCTATCTCTACCACCCTGCATGTTAATATACCCAATGTCTGATTGTGCTGTTTGTTTATACCTGTTCTTCCGTTTTCTCCTTTTTTTGAACCCTGGGTGCCTCTCCTGACTTTGTTGGGTTTTCAGTTACTGCAGTTCCCCCAGGGGCCTCGGTCCCCCCAAAAAGGCCGTCACCGTGCGGCTCATTCTATCCCCCCACCCTGAAACCCGTAGCCTCACTGTAGTGAATGCCATCTGCAAAAGGGCGGGAGCCAGCCTTGGACACTTCCCTGTTTACTTCCATTACGTCGTAGCGAAGCTGTCGACTTATATTCTTAATTACTCTGTTGGCTTCGACAACCCTCCTCCGTTACCCCGGACTGGCCCCGAACTTCTGGAATTGTGAACACAACCACGTGCACATTCTCAGACACGTCCCTCAGCTTACGCATTCCCACGTTTAGCTGCTTTCCGAGGTCCTCGCTCATACCCTTGAGCGCATCATTAGGCCCCGCATGAACCATTACCAGGTTCCTTCCCTCCCGGTTATCCCACACACCCTCACATGCTGTGGTCATAGCATCCACCTTACACTTCCCTGGCTCGACCTCTACGGTCACCTACTGGTCTCCCATCACCCTGTTCAGTACGCCCCTCTTAACCCGTGCTACGTTAGAGCTCCCCACTACCAGTACCCTAAATCCCCATGGTACCTGCGCGCCCTTGTCCTGCGACTTATCTCCTGTCACCTGACTTCCCGACGCCTGCTGCTGGAAGGCGCTATTGAGCTGAGGGTCACTCAGCTCTCCAGCGTCATCGAGCCCGCAAGCCAAAAGGCTGGACTCCAGACCACCAGTGACCCCAGCCTGCAATCTGGTGGTTCGTCCCGCTAGAACCGACACTTCCTCGTTTCTCCCCTCGCTACTCTCACTCACTCGAATTACCCCTTCCATGCGCTCTACCCTACTGTCACACTCCCTGTTACGCTCTTTTGAACCCGCCTTCCATACTTCCCCCAGTTCTTCCTCCTGCTTCTCGAGGCCGACCCGCTGCTCCCTCTCATGATAAGGCTGCCTAGTCAGCTCCTCAACCTGGGCCTCGATACCCACCCGCTTCTCTCCTTCTGCCTTAAGCTCGGCCTCAATCTCCCGAACTCTACCCTCCCATTTCCCAGTTACCTGCTTAAGCTTCACACAAAGCCGACACTCGACACTCATCCTCGCCGTTTCCTCCGGACTCCCGAAACCCGTCTCCTCTATGTAACAGCACCTCCCACACCCCTCGCGCTGCACCAACCCGTCCCCACCCTTGTCATGCCGACCCAAATCTCGACCCATGTCTAGACCGGAGCAAACCGTCACTTCCCGCCAAAAATTTAAACAGAGCCTACTTTAGGAAACTAACTTCTTAGTAGCCTCAACTAACCTCAACTGCTGCTGTTCAAACCTAACACTGCCCACCGTATACTCACTTCTAATCAACTCCCAAAGAGAGAGAGAAAAGAAGAAAAACTTGCACTTAGCTTCGGATGCTCGAGGAGAGCCAGGAAGCACGTCCGCTCACCGTAACAACTGTTACAAACCTTTTGCGTTCAGTGTGTCACCTGAGAGCGGCGTCGCGAACTAGATTGCTGAAGGCAACTGGGCGGGTATAGGCAATAGGAAATGCACGTCTGCCATTTTTGTTATCTTTCTAATAATTCGCTACGCGCGAGTTGACCTCTAAAAAAAATAGGCAAAAAACTTTGGAAGAAACGACTGTCGTGTGCCTAATTATAGGTATGTAGTTCGAAATTCGATTTTTCTAGGCGTGCCAAATGAGAAAGTTTTTACGGCCGCACCTTGTATTAATGCCACCTGGAAGACAAAGGCAGCGCCCCCTCCCCCCCCCCCCCCTCCCTCCTCAAACGTCATCGCTACAAGATCCACGCCGCACAGCCCACTCGCGTCACCATCGCCGCTAGCTCGACTTCCCGCCTCTCACAAAAAGCGGGACGCTAGCAGAAGGCGACGCCGAGATGGATCCGCTTGCCCTCTTTGCGGCGACTATCATTGAACTTCAGCGTGTATGCCTCTTGGGCGAATCAGGAATCAACTATACATTACGCCATGCGTATGCCCTTTTTTCTTTGGTTTAGTGCTTCTACTGACTTAAAAAAGCGTCATCATCATCACGATCAACAGAAGCAGCGGCAGAAACATTCCATTTTAGTGCCAAGGACAAGTCGTTTGCTTCTTGCGAAGAGGTTTCCTTGACGTCAAGACAACGCTGAGCTCTGACTGGCTTTGCTTGAAAGGATGGTGGGTAGACCTCGATGCGATAAGCCTTTATGTCTACCCTCTATTTTTTATCAGTCAATAAGAGCCCGGCGTTCTGACATCAGCGCAACCCCTGTGCAAGAAGCAGATGAACTTGCGTTCCGCATAAAATGGTTCATAGCTTTTTTGTGAACCGATACTCTCAATTAGAAATATTAAGTTTGAAACTGCTTCATAACAGCATGAAGAAGTTCCCTGAGTAATATCGAGACAGAGCAGACATCGCATATTGTTGATGTCACGTCGATTCCGGTTACCCTTTAATATCCTAGGAATGTTACGAACTTCTGCTCAAAACTGACGTTGGGCCGCTTAGTCGAAACTTCGAAATTTTCTCAAAACTCAATGAATTTTCTTCTGTAGAAGATTGACTCAACTTGTACACAACAATTTCATTTCTTTTTAATAAGAAGATATGATATATTTCTGATATTTTAGAAATATTAGTACGATGTTTTCACAATAAAAAAAACACATTGCACTTTAAACGCTCTAGTTAGTTCAAAATGCCAAACACTAAAAAAATGTAACCAACAAAGATTGCACTTCTCCGCTAAGTGCTGTCAGCTGGTTTTAAATTTTCGCGCATGCGCAGAAAAGACGAAACTTTAGTCGAACTTTTGTCGATAAGTTCGAACCTGGGCCGACTCGTACCTAAGGAGGTTCGCGACCCCCCCCCCCCCCCCCTACTTAATATCTAGACAGTGCCCAAAAGTTTACCTAAGGTAAGCCACCCGGTTTTCTTTGAGTGTCTGCTCCTGGTCCGCACCGGTGTTGCAATAACTCTTCGCACCCACGTTCATGTTGGAACATCCAAGACGTTCGATGTCATCCACTCTCACCACGACTTCCCCTGTAGCGGTACAAGCATCCATCTCGATGCGCCGCGCTCTTTACCGCGATGTCAAATGCCGCATCTGTGACAGTGCCTAAAATTACAGCGTCCCGAGCGTAGAGGTAGTCAAGCGTGGCTGTTTTTATGCCATCTGTCACACCAAAAACTAGACAATCTGTTCTCATTCCTTAAAAAAAAATTGTATTCAGAAGTTTCCCGCAGATTTTCACAATTAAGCACCCCGTTGAAAAAAAAAAAAAAAAACAGAAAAAAGAACTATTGTATGGGGTATTCTTGAATGTTTGTTGGCAGGCTCATATATTTTTACTGGTACAAGGACACCAGACGGAAATGCTGTTGGAATAAAAACATGAGTGTTGCAGCCGGCATAAAACATTCAGGTGCTCGAGAGAGACGTACGTTGATGCAGCACGCCGAGAGTGAGAAGATGTGCCATGACATCACGCTGCAGAAAGCAAGATATTTCCCTCTAAAACATTTTTGTTCTATTTTAGAAAAGAAACGTTGAAAATATTAGCGAGTTTTTCTGTCACATATCTTCTTGTTTCGTTTAATTCGTCACGTTTTATACAACTTCTCAGACACAAATGATTACGAATGAGGTCAATACGTTTTTTTTTTAATAGACCGTTTCACTGAAAGTGAACGAGGGAGTATGGGGAGAGGGTTACAGGCCCGCTTTCTTGCTCGATAAACTGTGTGCAGTCAGGGGAGACCCCGGATGTGCTCCTTAAATGCGTGTGATGCCCGATTGTCGCTGTCTTTGTCCGCAGTTTCCTCTCCGTTTTTGCTTCCCTAGATCCCTGGGTTTAATTAAATCTACTGGATTCCATGGCAACCCTACCCGATCGTCAGTGTATCCTTGCTCCGTTGTAGGTTGCGCAAATAACCAGCGAACGCGTAAAATAATATCGGGGGATCTCCATACCGCGCAAGGAATCTGACACGACGTCTGAGGCTGCAATGTTTCCAATTTTCATCGCATCCCACATGACCAGTACGTACTTCACGGCCATGGGTTACTTCTATAAACAGTCGAAATTTTAGTCCTTTGCCAAATTCTACAGAGTGCTCGCAGCATTTCGTGACTGGAGCGCGCTCGGAGTTCAATGCTGTACCTTCGTTCCAAGCGAATTACCAAGAAGAAACTACCTGCCGCTTCTAAGCATGAGCTTGATTTGCGATTTATAAAAGGCTCTTTAGTAGCTCAAGGCTCATTCCCGTTACCAAGCGGGGGTTGACTTATCGCAATCTCCTGCAGAACAGCCGAGAGCCGTCAAATTATGTTTGCCGCCACAACGCGACTGGAATCTTGTTATTTTACACATGAATGCGCAACGTATAGGTGGTGTGGACGCCCAAAAACGAGGTGAAAGAAAAAGCGCTCCAAAGAACACGTACCAACAACCAGCGTTGATTACGCGATTCACGTGGGGCACGGGCATGCAGCTAGCCATCACACGTTTCCAACCACAAACCACCTGATGAACAATCTTTAATTTTATCTTCTTGTAAATATGTAACTATAATATATTTGTCAGTTGCACGACTCCGGCTTGTAATTCAACCATCTACAGTGGTAATAAACGTCAAATTCAAATGTCGAAAAAAACAGAGACGCTGATTGACTCACGCTGGCAATGGATCTATTCGGACGTTGCGCTGTACTCAGGTTTTGACAAAAGACGCACCCGTCGAAACGGGATTCTTAATTCGAACCTTTACGAATAAACATCGGTGCATAGCGGGCTAGTCCTATTCTGTGCGTCTTCGTTGCCTTGTTGTGGTGGACACAGAACGACAAAAACGTTATCGGCGTACTGCACCTCACACCACAAAAGAGGTGCGCGGTTCGACACCCAGAGCCACGTAGTGTGCATTCATGTAGCTTTTACCAAATGGCGCCAAAAACGAGAAAAACAAATCGAGCCTGCGCGCTTGTATTTACTTTGCCATTCAAGCTTTAAATACAAAAACAAATGAAACTATATAATGCAATGCGCTGTCAAACAGAAAACAAACCCACAAGAACAAAACATCAGCCAAACCAATCACGCACCCTCCTCTATGAATGCCAGGCAAAAAAGACAAAGGTCAAAATAATTCAGTCATCTAAGTTTTATTTATCAATCTGACAAATCAAAAAGACGCTTGCTTGCAGATGGCACAATAAGCGACTGTAAAATGCAGTTCATAAACAAATGTTGTCACTTGAGCCCGTCATACTGGCCGGAAAAGTTGTCTCGATGCCCTACCATCTCGGGGACCAGTTGGTCAATGGATGAGCAGCCTACATGTTGGGATAAATTGTCAGTCTTCGTTGAGCACACATGACTATAGTGTCGCGTCTCATTTAGGCTTGCGAACAATATACCAGATTTGAATATAGGCGTGTGTATGTACGTGTTCATAAAACAAAAACACGCGACCACAGCTCACACCAGTGTGGGCGGTAACACGTTAGAAGTAACCGCGTCACCGGTAACGCGTAACCTTTTTCCGGTAACTTTGTGAAGTACTTAATTGTTACATTTCCAAAACTGTAGCCGGTAAAATACGTTATCTATTTCCGGTGACGCGTAACGTAGCTAGGTTACGTGTTACATATTCTTGCATGACAAAAAAAAAAAGCTACACTTAAATTTTTTTTTCGTTTTTCTAGACCTCAACTTATATACCCTTTTGCGTTTCTTTGCGTGTTTTTTTTTTTTTCGTGAGCATTTAAGTGGAACCATAAAAAAGATTAGGTTGAATATGTTCAGTGTCTGGATGGACATAATGTTTATTTAAATATGGCCCTTACGCACACCTGTAATGTCGAAGTGTAAAACGTGCTAGTTTAATTATTTAAAAAGTAACACAAGAGTAACATGTGTTACTTTTATTTTGAGGTAACGGTAACGCAATCGTTTTATTTTAAGGTAATGTAGGCCGGTAACAAGGACATTTCATTTGAAAGTATGGAGTAACGTATTTGGCTGCTTGTTTCGGTAACGCCTACGACACTGGCCCACAGATCGTATGCCTCTCTGCGTTTACTGGCAACACACGAACCAGAAGCAAGCTCTCATCCCCCAGAAGTACAGTCGCACAGAATTCAAAGCTTTGGTGTTCACGTTAGCGACGTATATGTGACGCGTTTTAGTTTACGTAGAGTATAGATTTTCTCCAGGTGGTTACAAGTACCTGGAATTGGAACCTGCGCGAGAGCCAGCTGCATAATTCGCTGCGTACACCCTAGATGAACAACATTATCTCCAAATAAGCTAAAAAAACTAAACATACAAAAACAAAGAAGAATAGACACCTGATTGTAAACCCATTCCAACATCTACACACTGCGACCGAGGTTCATGCGCTAATGCCGAAACATCCAACGGTTGCCTTCTGCCGTTTAGGCTTGCGTTTCGCTAAAATAAAGCAGCCGTTTTTTGCTTTTTATGAAAACAATTTGGCTATTGGCAGCAGGATGATTTCTCGCTATTGATTTAGTACAGGCATGTTACGAGGAGTACGGAAGCAAGAGGTACTGTTGATGGCCAATCTGACGGGATCGTGTGTGCGGTTATGGAGCGCATCACAGCCTCAAAGCTGTTTCTTTTTTGTGTCTGCGTGTGTTCAGATAAATATTTAAATTCGCATCGATCACAGAAGATTGCGCCCAGGCCACTTTGCTCCTCGATTATCAGACCACTTAGCTTCAGCGCCTGGTAATTCGTTATTCGAGAATGTTTGCTAGTGCCCGCAATCTCACAAACACAAAAAAGCCAAATCTACAAGACCGCTCACGCACATCTTCTGACTGCACAAAAACACACGCACGTATCGGCATGGCTGGCTGCTTGGGCCGACTGAGACGTGAATCACTGTAGGCTGTATCTGAGCTTGACCGGCGCGTAATTTGACGTGTGGCATGAGCTGATTTTCCTCGCTAACTTTTTTGACTCTGAGGTGCTGGAAAGTCACTGTGGTGACTCTCCAGCACCTCGTTACCTGCCCGTGCTCACTGATATCGCGCGCCATTAGCAGATAAGAACGAATACATATGAATCACGTAGCAAGATAATTAAACCTATTGTTCCCAAAGTAGAGTGGGGTGCCCAGTACCAACCGGGTTGGTGAAATTTATTCGCTGCTAATCCGACTCGGAGAAAAAACAAACAACGACCCTATTTTTCTACGCCGTTCGTATCTCTGGCAGTCTGCGCTATATAACAGTATATATGAACGGCCACAAAATAGAGATGGCACTTCATTTTTCAGAAAATCCTCGTGGATGCCTGCAGACGACAAGACATGAGATCGCTAAACTGGTCTAAGCCTCGCTGTAGCTTCGCATGAGAAGATCGCTCTGGAGCAATACTAGCTTGCTCGGTACTCTTCAAGCCCCGGCTGTCAGAGACTTCCGAGAGCATCCTCTGATGTAGTGAGTGAAGTAAGAAGTGCGAACATAACAGATCGCACCATGAATTTTTGAAAATGGCAGGGACTACACCCTAAACCGAAAGAGTAGTACTTTCTACCTCAAAGGAGAAAAAAAAGTGTCCGATAACGTACACCACAAAGGGAGCACCATTTCCTCATTTCAAAAGGGAGGTAATTGTATCCTCCCGCGGTAGATAAGGCCTCCCACCTTCTTTTTCTCACGAACGGAGGAAAACCTCCTCCCCTAAACCAACATGGCGAAACCTAAGTGCGAACCGTGTCGAAAGGCGTAGCAAACTGCACGGCCTTTCAACGGAGTAACAGCGAACGGCGTATAGAACTTGCCGGCGTCTTGTGCGTGAACAAGAGGATCTAAAGAGCCTTCTTCAAGCCTCATACCTCGTACGGCAAAGACGACAGTGTTCGCGTATGGCGGTTCGGCGCTTAGGGCCCCGTACTGTGGTCTATGTTGTCTCCACCAAATGGCGCCCCCAACGAAAAAAGTCGGAACTTTGCCGCTTGCATTTACCTGGCTATTTAAGCTCTATATACAATTACACATACGAATCCAAACCGGATCCCGCAATGATCCGAGACGACACAGGGAGAAAAAACGGCGACCAGCTTCTAAGTTCTGGCGAAGGTTGTGCTAAAAACAGGTTCTTTTCAAACAAAAACCCGTCCCATTCTCCCGACAGACCCGACGGAGAAAGAATACGGGGTAGAAGTTTGGTGGGAGGGGGAAGGGTTCGCATACGGAAATCTCTTTTCCCCCTCCCACTACACACGACACACCGACAGAGCAATGCCCCAAGGACGAAAGAAGGTCGAAGGTTGCCATTTTCAACACGCCGGTCAAGTGACGTATAAGTAGGGCTCCGTGTTTTCGGAGTTTATTTTTCGTGAAATTCGGAGGCTGTTTTTCGGAGTTTATTTCTAGCGAAAATTCGGTGTTTATCGGAGTTTGTTTTTTGTAAATCCCCAATTCTCCGAAATTCGGAGATTAATTTC